TAAGCCACCTCAATATCATGCAATCCAACTCTTCTTTTCCTCCCCTCATGCCACTTTGGGGGCTTCTCTCTGATTCTTGGGTATTTGCATGAAACAAAACCATCAAGGTCTTTAGGGGGTGTTGCCGGTGCCAGCAATTACTAACAGACCCCAATTTATGATCAGGGGGGATTCACCATTGAGCATTTGGTGCATCTGGAGTTTACTTCTCATATGACTTCCATCAACCCGCGGACGGATCACACTGCGCCCGTAGGCCATGAGACGAATAATGGACAGGGTGGCAGACTGCGAACAACCTCCTGCGGGACCCCGCCGGGCCCCGTGCGGGGAGCGAGGGGGCCCAGAGGTGGCGGAGCACAGCGATGCATCGCGGCGTTGGAATAAAGCAAATTGAAACAAGAGAGGGGAGGATCCTAAGTAAAGGCCGAGGGGGGAGGAGAGTCCGTGGACGGAATTGCTCATTGTGACTTTGCAAAGAGACGAAGGAGAAGAAGAAGAGCGGCTTGGGTGTTTGTTTGTGTGTGTGTGTGTGTGTGTGTGTGTGTGTGTGTGTGTGTGTGTGAGTAATGGCAGATGAGATGCTCGCCCCCGTCTTCGTCTCCCGGGAGTGAGAGCGAGAGTTCAGCCAGAGTCTCTCTTTCTGTGTGTGTGTGTGTGTGTGTGTGTGTGTGTGTGTGTGTGTGTGTGTGTGTGTGTGTGCGTGTTCTCTGCGAGAGCCAATCAAACGACCACGGCCGTGGTCAATAAATGTGAGAATGGTTTCAAGTGATCTGATCGGTTTGAATGAGCTCATTTCGTTTTCTGGATAGCCACCAAGCATCGCGTCCGTCCTGTGGAATGTTTTAATGGATGAGAAAACAATTACGTTTGCGATTAATAGATAGATTAATAACACCCCGCTGGCAGATACCTAAAAGGCTTGTGAGGGGGGAACTATCTCCACAGCTACTTTCTTTTATAATTACCAGCTCACCAGTCTCCTGTGAGCTCTCCCTGCTGCCGCTTCCCCTCCTCTGTCATTTCTCTCCTGCCCGGCCTCGTTCCACCAGTAGCCGCTCGCAGCGGCGCGCCCGGGTTTATTCTGGGGCGTGCGACCCCAACACCGGCTTGCGGTGCGGCCCAGCTGTAATTACACGGGCCAGAATAGCAGCGGGGCCCCGGTTCAGAGAGTCAGCACCGACGGGCGGCCTTTGATCGGCACACAGGCCTGAGGGATGACGGGGGGAAAAGAAGAAAAAAAAAAAACGAGGATTCGGGCAGATGCATTTCTTGTAATTACAAAATTACGAGATTTTGCCCACAAAAAGTGTGTGTGTGTGTGTGTGTGTGTGTGTGTGAGCTGCCTGTGGGGATCTGGGGGCTCCTCCCGAGAACTGAGCTCTGAAAGCAGCTTTAGTTTGGGCCAGAGCTGAGGTTTGCAGCCCTTTCATGGTAAGTGTGTGTGTGTGTGTCGCCTTTTCATGGCTGCGAGTGGATTGTGTTTTTATGGGTTTGTGGTATGTTACCCCTTTAAAGTAGAAGTTATACATGTCTGTGCGCAAGCCTGGTTTTTATGCATTGTGCATGTGTGTGCTTCTGTGTAAAAAGTGCCTGGGCAGCTGAACTCTGTGTGTGTGTGTGTGTGTGTGTGTGTTTTTACTTATAGATCTTATAGCGAGGAACAATTAAGAGTTTTAGGATAGAACTCGGTTTAAGTTGAGGTAATTGAATGCTTCACGTCAAGCTTCCTCACAAAGACACAAGTGTAGGGTTGCATGTGCTGTGCGCGCACGTGTGTGTGTGTGTGAGAGAGAGAGATACTGAGTGATGGTCTGTCTTTTTCCTCATTAAAATATGGCAGGTGCATAAGTAAAAACTCAAATCAACAGCGTACACATACACGCACAGGGCATATGCTAACATGATTAACACCAACATTAGACTAACATTAGTGCAGCCTCCTTCAGAGAATCTCCCCCGGACCAGCTGCTCTCCCTCTCTTCCTCCCATATGCCCAAACCGGCGTTTCTCCCACGCTCTCCTCCCTCCCTCCCTCCGTTCCTTACGGTTCGAACAACGCATCATTTCCGTAAAGGTAAAGTTTACCCCTCACACCCACCTCAGTTGTTCAGCTCAACGCCTCCTTGAGTCCTTCGGTCCTGTCTGTCCTCCTCGTGCCTACCCCCCTCCCCCCTCACCCCCTCCCTCCCGTCTTGGTCTGCAGCTTTCTTTCTAATGTGTGTGTGGCGGATATCCCCAAGAGTGTGCGGGCAGCGGGACGTCCGGCAGCACATCGACGACCCCCCTCCGCTGTGTGTGACGCGTCGCCTTCAGGTGTGTCTGTGTGTTGGCGGGGTGGTGGGGGGGGGTTGGTACACTAGTACGCATTGGTTGCCAAACAAAACGGCATATCGGTATAACGGCGGAGAGGGCCCGCCTCTACCTTCAGGTCGCTCTACCGTTACTTCTGCCGCTGCTTTTCATGAATCCGTACACATTCATTAGTGCTGCGGGCGCAGAGCACGGCAGGGGGCTTTTCGCCTGTGGGCACGTGTGTGTGTGTGTGTGTGGGGGGGCCATCTATCATTGTGACAGGCTGGTCCATGTTTACTTAACGATGTGGGGGTTTATTTATGAAGTGATGTCTGACGTGTGAGATGGAGAGAAAAAAGTAAGAGAGAAAGAGGCTGGGGGGGCGGGAGGGAGGGGGGGGGATATTGAGACAGCCTGAGGATGTGACATTAAAATATCATCAAGGTGATGGATGTCCACACACACGCGACATTAGAGAGTACAAAAAAACAAAACAGCTGCGAAACGGATGACAAGTCCTATCTGGACTTGTGTGTGAGAGTCATTGTGTGCGTGTGTGTGTGTGTGTGTGTGTGTGTGTGTGTGTGTGTGTGTGAGCGAGTGAGGGTTATAATGACTTTGAGTGTGCAGTTGCGCGCGTGGTTTCTCTGTGACTTCGCTGTTCATTAAAGTGTCACACGTGCTGCCCAATGTTGTTTACGATTCCCGGGGTAATGAGTTGAAGATAAGATGTATGAGTTTGCGCGTGTGTGTGTGTGTGTGTGTTTCTGCTCCGGCTCGCTTGTGCGTGGTCAGCTGGAAGGCACATGGAGTTTGTAATAACACATAGCACGCATGTCACGCAATCAGCTCTGCGGTACACAAAAGACACATAACATGTCAGCGGTGTGAATAAGTGGTTGTGGTGACGCACGTCACCGGGCGACCCAAAAATAACCCCACCGGGGGCTAAAAAAACAAAAACAAAGAACGAAGGGTGTGTTTTGTCAAGTACCAGACCCATCTCAGCTTGCACTTGGACCGCAAATCTACTCAGCGGCAAAGCAGGAGTTTCCTCCACAACAGAGAAGATGCTTTAAGAGCCAGATGGCTCAAGTGTCCCACTACACTGCGACATGATAACTAAACAAGTAAACAAGAATCAACTACTGCACTCAGTCAGTGAAATATCGAGGGGAAAGACTCTCAACCGTCCTGCTTGCGGTTATGAAACAAAGGAGCCTATGAAAAGAAGTTCCTGGTGCTCCCTTGTGGCCCCTAATTGGCCATCAAGACCTTACAGAGAGCCGATCATTAGCATATGGAGAAAAATAGACAGAGAGGAGGGGACAGCGTGGTGGTCATAATTGCAAGTGTGACCTATCCAGAGACAGCGAACACGGGGGAAGGGTCAAATTAGGGACGGAGAGAGAGACAGGGACACGGGGGGGAGAGAAAGGGACATGACGTCCCTTCACTGAAGACCAGATTCATCTGCGCGCACACAAACACCTGCGGATCACGCGGACGGAGAGCCGCCGAGAGACGTGGATGGATCGGGTGACCACACCCACAATCCTCTTGCTCAGGCGACAACGCGGCCAGAAGGCGCTCAAATTTAAATATTCTTCCAGCGGGATTTTCCCTCCATTGTGTTGCGTTTCAAAACAGCCGCCCATTAACACCTTCTCTCTCTTTCTTTGTACACAACGTTACTTCCCAGGAGTTTTTACTGTTTCGATTCTCGCCACATGCGTAGTGCGTGTGTGTGTGTGTGTGTGTGGGGGTGTTTCATTATCGGGCTCCTCGGGGGAGGAACCCACACCGCTGGGTATTTCTTTTTCAGTGGGGTGGAAAAAAATAACAAATCGGATCGCAGGTAGGTCGCGTCTCGCGCTCGCCGCTCTTTGATTGCATCGGTTTCGGTACCGACGGAGTCACGCGTCCCACCTGGGGGGCCGGCGGACCCGCGGGTCATGCCTGGTGTTACTGAGGCCTCTGACAAACAAAACCGCGCTCAATAAACACCACGGATGAGCAAGTGTGCAGCGCGGCGTGCCGGGCGATTAGGTGTTGGGCGACGCTGTCAGTAAATCCATAGCGTATTTCCCAGATGCCTTTGCAACTTCTCTTTTGCTCGCGGCATGAAAAAAAAAAAGTGAGATCCAGCACAGAGGAAATGCTTCAGATCCAACGATTCCGATTGGGATCAAAGTGTGATTTTCTGCATCCCTGGGCTCGCTATTAAAAAAAAAAAAAAAGAATTTCCCATTTCAAAAAATGGCTGATAAACGCCTATTGATTTCCATGGCAAGTTGGGGAGTGAACGGAGGTAAATGATATGATTCCTCGGGCTGGATCGATACCGGTTCAGGCACATTTAGCAGTGCTGCTTGGTTAGGAGAGGCAACCGCAGGGAGATCTCAGGCCGCTGTTGTTATCGCCGACAAAACCAGAAAGAGGAGGAGGAGGGGAACCGAGGGCGGGACACCAGGGAGGCAACGGAGGAGGGGAGAGAAGTCTGTGGTGCAGAGCTGAAGGAAATGTCAGCGGTCTGATGGGGGAGAGGGCGCTCTGGAGAAAACATAAATGCCTCCATTTAACATTTCGTGTGGATGGGCCATTATGGCGAGAATCCATCAGCCTCTCACTGCGAGCTCATCCCCGGGCTGCCGCGTGTGTGTGTGTGTGTGTGTGCGGGGGGGAGAGGGGGGAGGGGCACTCACCCGGTGCGGGTCGTGCTCCAGCACTCGACGGCGTTGGGCGTCGAGCTCGTCGTAGACCGGAGCGGCTCGTGCCTGCTGATACCTGCGCATCCCCTGAAGACGCTGATCACTGTGGAGAGGGGGGAGATGGAGAGGGAGGGGGGGGGGGGGGGGGGGGGGCAGAGATTTAGGGAGAGCAATCATGGCGAGAGTTTCCTTTTTTTCCTCCACGGCAACTAAAAAGGCCAAGTACAACATGATACATTCAGCTTCATCCTTTTTTAAATCCACCTGTATCCTTTTCTTTTTTTTGGTTGGGGGGGGGCTTTGCAGCGACAACCCTTTGACAGCGCAGCGAGACTGACAGGCCCCGGCAGACAGATAATAACCACAAAGCACCGCCTCTGAGAAGACATCGCCGCCTGAGCTGAACTCTCTACAGCTGACAGACAAAACCAAGGCGGGAAAAAAAAAAAAAAGAGAACATTTGAAAAACATTTGATGGATGTGCTTTTTCAACACAAAGTCGCATAGGCCGATTCAGCCCGCCCCCCCTCACCTGAACTACACCCAGACACGTCAACGAGAGAGTGATCTAAAAGGTGGAAACTAAAAAGAGAAACCGTCATCATGCTCACTGGACCTTAATGCTAGATAAGCTACACACACCTGCGCATGAACAAAGGCTTCTGCGCGCACACACACACACACACACACACACACACACACACACACACACACAGTGTGCCTGAACGAGCACAATCCTTCAGGATGTACGACAGCGCTGTCGTTTATCTGTGTTTACCGGCTGCATTGGAAGCGGGTATCTGGCATTGACACCGATACGTCGCCTGCTTGCCGTTTGGTCCTCAGGAGATAAAACACTGAATGGAAATATTAAATGGCAATAAAGAATAATAATTACACATTTTAAAAAAAAGCAAACTTTCACCCCTCTTTCCCCTGCATCGGTTTCACACACCTGAAACAGGGGGAAAATGCCAACGGCCGCATCCCCCCCTCCCTCTTACTCGCCCCCGACCGCCCACACAAACAAACAGACCCTCAGAGAAAAGATTGTTTTTTCCCACCCTTCTTCCACTAAACCCATTAGCCAATCCCCGGGCCCGTAATTAAGGCTGCCATATTTTGATTGAGCGCACGTGTCGCTCTCCCGGGCGAAAAACAACACCGTAATTATCTCATTACGCCGCGGCCTCCGTCACTGACGAAGCCAAATATTATCATATTAATAGCTGAAGACGGGCGGCGATTGTGGATAAAAACATTACAGGGCCTCGTCGAGTGGCAGCTCGATGGGATGGACGGTCCTTGGCGGGCTGCTTTCAAACACAGTGACAGGAGAGAGAGTGTGTGTGTGTGTGTGTGTGTAGAGGGAGACAGGTAGGCTCCCCCGCTGTCATCAGCAGCTAATAACGGCCGCTGATTGCCTGTCTGCACTGGGAACACAACAGATTGAAGCTCCGGGGCCCCGGCAGCTTTTTCTACAGGGCGGTGTGATGCGATACCTTTTCAACACAAGGTAGATTGCGTGGGGATCTACTGGCTTTCACATGTTTCTTTATGAGACGCGGGCGGTGAGGAGGGGGGGGGGGGCTGGTAGACGTGTAAAAGGCCACAGCTGATCAACGTCTAGATTTGCTCCGTTCGTTCATCCCGCGGAGATCGCTGCCACTTGAGTCAGTCGTGCGATTTCCTCCAAGCCGACTATGCAGGCTGATCAGAGATGGAGAAGGTGGAGGAGGAAAGAGCGGGACGGAGACCCGGAGGCGAGATGGGGGGGGCAGGAAACGAAAGACGCGTCAGAAGACAGAATGAGAGCAAAATCAAACAGCGACGGAAAAAGACAAGCGAACGGGGGAGAAGGGGAACAAAACAAAAGGAAAATGGCTGCTGTGTGAAAGCGAGCGGGGGATGGATGGATGGATGGATGGATGGAAAAGGCCCGGTGCAGGCGGTTTACCCCTCAACCGGTAAGCGCGCATCAAGGTGCGCGGGTCTCCGTTGGCGCTGTGTCCTCATCTTGGGAACCCTCCCCCCCCCCTCAAAAAAAAGACTTTCTCCAGAGGAAAAACAGACACTTTTACGCGTCTGTGTTCCACTAAGTGCAGCGCCATAAAAAAAATGAAACCTGATAAGCTCCAAATCAAACACCAGCTTCCAGTAACCGCGGGCTTCCTCCGTGTAACTGCCCATGAACAAAAGAAAAGCTTGAGGGGGGATGGGGGGGGGGGGCTCGGATGGAAAAACATTTTCTTTCCAACAAAAGAGGCTCTATAAAGGCGTAGAAGACACTGACTTAATGTGCAGTCTGCACTAATGATGTGTTGTTTATTTCCGAGGGAACAACACATTTCCTCTTTGAGCTCTTCTTCAGGCAGGTGTTGCTTGACAACTAAATCTGCGGCGAGAAAACAAGTCGATTGCATTTTTCGTTGGCGAGAAATGGGGAATTGTATTCTGCATCTGCCCTTCTGCCGTAATGGGAAGTGTTACTTGTATAAAGTCAGCTTCCTGTCTTTTCCGTTCTACAAGCGTGTCTTGCACCAAGCATTGCACCAAAAGATGGTTACCCCCCCCCCCAAAAAAAAACCCATTCAGAACATATGAAGGAAGCCAACAAATTGATACCACAAAGAGCTCGTAGCTTCTTATGAAAAAACGTTTTCGGCAATTAGTCGAGGCACGTATGGAGCGTTTTGAGGTTTGGACTTACCTAAAGTCCTAAAGGTGTGTCACTCTGGTGCCACATAGTAGGGACGGAGACTGGAGGGGGGGGGGGGTTCGCTCACTTTACTTCTTGGCTTACAGGCTCCCCTTCACCTTCCTTTTCTCAGCCCTCCTGAGAGAGAGAGAGAGAGAGAGAGAGAGAGAGGCCCCCTCTCCCCCCAATCTCCCTTTCATCTCAGCGTCCGCGGCGTTGAGGAGTGCCTTTCGACTAATAAAATTTGACAAGCATAGCTAACCTTTTTTTTTCCCCTCCACAGGTCAGCCGGCGGCGCCGCGGTAATCAAATGCGACGCCCATCACAGCGCACACCTGCCAATGAGGGTCCTAATGAAAATGTCCAACGGTGAATTAGAGAGACAGCGATGGGGTCCGCTGTTCAGGAGAGAAGGTGCGCGGGGGGGGGCTGATATGTCTCACTTGGCAAAACTAAGCAAACCTGGAGGAAGCGGAGGCATGCGCGTTTACTTCCCAAAAACATATTAGCATTGAGGATGTCCCTCTTGGATAATGGCCGCTTTCCTCCTCAGCGTCGATAAAACAGGAGACGAGAGAAACCACATATGTGGTTCCCTTGGAAACACTAAAGCTTTTGCACTTGAGAAGTAAAACTCATGCACTTTGTGTATATTTATACACACACAGTAAGTAATCTTACACCTAGGATTTCAGTGCGTCGGTACAAAACCCCACCGGACCACACACAGCATTGTTGCTAGGATACACTGAGCTTCCTCGCCGGAGCATTACAGGTGGGTGGCCGTGTGTCTGTGTGTGAGCATGCATCTATTTATGACCGTGCCTGTGTATGTCTGTGTGAGTGAAGGGAGACGGGGGCGTGGGGGGGGTCCAGACTGGCGGCGGTCTCTCTCCGTCTGCGCGGGTGTGTTGAAACAGATGCGCCGACTTTGTGAATGAGCGCTCCTCGTCCAAGCCGCAGGTTGGCGGGGCGGGGACTGGAAATAGCCGGCGATGTGGGGGGGTGAGACCACGGGTTACGTCTGAGGTCATCAAACATGGCCAGCTATATTTAACCAGGGAATATACCTTCATTTTGGCAGCCACAGTATCGGGGGAGAGGCTTTTCCTTGTCTCTCTCTGGAGACTCACGAGCCAAGGGAGGCTCCTCATCCATCAGGCTAATGCTAAAGACTATCCAACACACATGGGGCGGGGAGAACGGACGAGCGACGCGGCGAGAGTGTAAGAGAGACCGAGAGAGAGGGGGAGACAACAGGCTGGTAATGAAGTACCCACCACTAGTGTGTGAGAGCTAAAGTGGTCGAACAGATCTGTCAGCTGCTAGTGGCTAATTATCCCTCTGCCGCTTTTGTCTGCATCCTCGCCTCTGTCACGTCTTCCCTCGCGAATTTACCCGGCCTATTTCCCTTTCCATTTTGGCTCTATTTCTCTACTCTATTCCCCTCCTTTTTTTATCTCGTTCTGTCTGCCTCCCCATCTGTCACTTCCTTCCATTCCCATCTGTCTCCTTTCCATCTCTCTCTTTAGTTTTTTTTTTTTTTTGGATGAGATTGGGCGCGCGGGGGTTTAGTTTTTGATTTGCAAGTCAATAGTAAATTCTGTCAGAGTTTAAATTGACGGAAGTTTTAATGTAGCCCGTATTATTTCACACTGGAAATGATCAATTTGCATGAGAATCCTCATTAGATTTCCCATGTTTTTCCGCTTAAGTACCAAAAACGCTGTGGGAATAAGTCGGCGGTTTCAATAACTTCAGAATTTGTGAGGAACGACGGCTCTGATGAGATGCTTTTCTTGAACTCAACACTGAGGGCACTGACACCCCAATATCATAATGAACAATATAAATAAAACGGTCAGGTTTTGAAACATAGAACACGGAGGAAAAAAACGGCGAGCTGCCGCGACGCTCAGCTTTGACGGAGCGCAGAGCGTTTAAGCACGAGTTGGGTCCTCACCTGTCCGCCTGCGTTTGATGCTGGTTCTGGAGCGCCGCCGGCGGTCTGGACTTATTGACCTTGGCGTAGAGCCCATCCAGCTCATCGGCGGAGGCCCTCGGGTCGGGCCCACTGAGGGACGGTGGCGCCGGGGACGGCGTGCGGCTGATCAACGACTGCGGCGAGGGCTGCTGGCGGAAGTTGCCGATGCGGGCGTAGTTGGGGTCGCTGTCGTCGTCCTCCACCTCGGGGAAGGAGTCCGGCGTGACGCGGCCAGAGTGGATCTCGGCGCGGCGCGGGTCGTAGCTATCAGAGAGGAGGCAGTTAAGACACGGTTGCATGCGCTCCTCGTTTTTTCCACCCAGCCGGGATTAATACCTGCCCCTGTCCAGCTCTTCTTCGCTGAGCGCCTCCAGTTTGCTTCTGGAGGCTTTGGCGGCGTCTTTGCTCTTGTCGTCCTTCTTCTTCCCAAATCTGGACAAAATAAAGAATGGGACACGGATGGAACAAGTTTTAAAAGGACCTGGTACGCGGAATATTCACATGGGGTGAGATGACGCTGCTACTTCCTGCTCGATATTATTATCGCATAACATCAGCCAGATATCATTACAGGCCGTGCTTTTATTCTGAAGGCACAATTTGTTGCCCATTGGTGGGAATCCTTTTACAGACTTTTATGGCGAAAACAGAGTTTGCACGATGTGAGGAAATTGGCTCTTTAGCTCACATGACATACAACCACCGCACAAACACCCGCACGCGCACACACACACACACAAACACACGCACACTGCTAGGCAAACCCATTCTTACCCCAGTGTGTCTATTTAATGGCTTTACCTGCTCCATGATAGACGTGGTCATAATGTCACAGCGGGCAACAAGAATCCAGAGTGTGTGAGTGTGTGTGTGTGTGTACACAGGGGGGGTATAGTTGTCAGCAGTATATGGAGCATACTTAAACTTAAATATTTGGTCGAATAAAAAATCTGTTAAACTAAAGTGTGCCGTGTTTTTCTTTGCCGTAGCGACCGTCATCTTATTATTTTGAAACTCCGCCTTACACTTTTCAGTGCTTCGTATTCTTCCATCTCTCCTTCACATCATCTTTCTCACCTTTCTCTCGCTAAGCCCCCTTCCCTCGCTCCCTCTTCATCTCGCCTCCTCCGTCTCAACACAACCAACCTCCTTTTTGTATTTCTTCTTCTTCTCCCCCTCTCTCTCCCTCTCTCTCTCTCCCTCTCTCCCCCGCCGAGCCAACGTGATGCTTGTGTTTATCTCATTAACAGCGAGGCCCAATTCCCCCGTTGCCGCTGCAGGAGGATCCATGGCCCCTGAATGGCAACCCGCCGGCCCGAGAGCGGCGTGGCGTACGAGATCCGGCGGCGCTAAAGGTAAATAATGTGGCTCATTCGGTCACCTCGCTTTACACCTGGTTTAAGCAGGGTGTGGGGGTGGGGGTTGGGGGGGGGCAAATATCACACACTCGTTGCCGTGGCGTCTTCCTGCGTCGCTTCCTCGAGATCACTCGCCGTGGAAGCAGTGTGGGCGCCGCGCCGTCGGCGGCTTTTGCTTTTCCTGCCACGTTTTATTTCCCACGCACCCCCACGTACGGGGGGGGCGAGAGCAGACTGCAGATTACCTCGCCGGTGAGCGAATACATTTCTGTTCACGACGTGCGCCAGTCATCTCAGAGTGCGTCGAAAGAAATAATTATAGACGCAAATATATGATTATCCAAAAATCCCAGGTTTATCTTGGCTCAGAGGCCTGATTCAATCCCCCCCCCCCCACCTATACATATACACACACACACACACACACACACACACACCACTTTAATCAACATTCAAAGGGGGCAGAGGTCCACAGTTGGACCATCATTATAGCTGCATTAATTAGGAAAGGCTCTTTTTCTCACTGCTTTGTCTGCAAAGAGGGTGGAAGAAAAGAGAAGAGAATGGGAGTGGGACTCCAATTAAAGACATGTACCTGCCATGAGGGAGGCGGTTTCCCGCCCCCCCCCCACATTATCTTATTCCATCTTTTTCCACCGCGGTGGTAACGACGCCTCATGTCAGTTTCTTTTCTTTTATTACTCAGTCTCTCGCTCTCCTTTATTAACTTCTGCCTCTTCTCAGGACGGCCTCTGCTCCGTCACTCCTTCGCAAATCTGACAGTTCATTTCCTGTCGAGTGTCCGGCGGCTGCCGGATGGCACGAAATAGAAATAAGTGACGGAACCACGGCGAATGCCCCAGCGGAGGCGAGCTGAGGGAAACTGTGAGGGGAACTGCAAACAGTCTGAGGGAAAGGGAGGCATTATCTACCAACTCCATCCACTCCATCATGGCACCAACGCTGGGGCGTGGGGGTCCGATTTAATACCCTCCCCGCTGTCGCCAGAGTTATTAGCTGTCCTCATTGTCACAGTCACCTTCGTGCAGCCCGGCCTTTGCCGATCGGTTTGCTTTGGCCTCTGGGAATGAGAGCCCCCCCCCTCTGGGTTGTTTGTCACTCTACATATGGGAACAATTAATGACGTAGAAATTTGAGACCCATTTGAAGCACGACTTCGTATTCGCAAGGGACTCCCTAGAGATGTTTTTTTTGGTTCCCTTTCTCACCGTGTTCTTATTCTTCATTTTCCCTGAAAAACACCAGGTCGGGGATTTCCGGCCGCCGCTGCCACCCGTCGTCCGGAGGCTTCCCCCACCTCTCCCGGCTTTTAAGAACTGGACTGTCTGTAATATCCCGCAGCTCTGTCTTTCTCTTTTCTTTTAGGGGAGAGAAGAGGGGGGGGGGGGGGATTGCCGGCACTCAGTTATCCACGCTCTAATGAGCGCTCTGGAAACCAATCATGCAGATCACACCCACCCGGGGTGGCAAAGTCGCCGACCTGACCTGTGCAATTACACCCCCCCCCCCCCACCACCCCTCCTCTCCCCCCGCTGCAGAAAGGGAGGATGAGCTCACCCCGTTACCGACCTCTCGCTTAGATTTTTGGCAGAGGGCTAAACCGCCGTTGGAGAATAAACCAGGAGACAGGAAGCACCGCGAGGGAGTTGAGAGAAAAGAGTGGAGACGGACGGAGGCGCCGGACCTCCCGTGAAAGTGCAGCCTCGGCTGGGGAGGAATAAGGAGCTTAGGAATATAGATGAGCGGAGCGGGAAGAACAGTTAATCAGCCAAGCAGAAATGTTATCGCAGTAATTAGATCGCTCTGTACGTCTCGGCGGGGCTCGTGGTAAAAGGGGGAGGGGGGGGGAGAGAGAGAGAGAGAGAGAGAGAGAGAGAGGGGTGGATGGAGGACAAGGAAACAAACCAAGGGACAGAGACATGAGACACACACACAGAGCAATAGAGGGAAAGAGAGATTAACACTACACAGAGTTGTGATGTAACACAGGGCCTCCTCCCTCCCCGTTCTGGCGACGCGGCGCTGAGACGAGTCGGAAAATATTTCTGACTCGAAATAGACGGAGTGACACTGGCGGCAGAAAATAGACAACAAGTGCTCTTTAAAAATCGGTGTGGTTTCCTGGTGGAACTGAGGGATCGGGCTACAAGGGAGCGCGATAACAAGGTCAACCGGGGGGCCCGCCAAAAGCGTTGATTGACAGCGCCGTCAGCCAATCCGGGTCTCCCCACGGAGAGGGAAAACCTGCCAGCAGGCTTCATGAGCTTTTCCCCACTGGGCATAATTAAATATACTTATCAGACTTCCTCGCCCACAATCTGGCCCAAATCAGCTCCCATTAATGGCTGATATAGGCGGGGAGAGGATGAAAAAGAAGGAAAAAGAGAGGAAGGGGAGCGTGTTAAATAAGCTTCGCTTAGAACTAATTAATAATGTAGGATGGAATATGCTGGTCGGCGGTTCATCTGCTAGTTCGGATTTTCATCTATAACTCAATGCAACCGCTTCAACTACGACGAAAAAGCCACAACCAAAAGGGGAGGAGTCAGTTGGATTTCTTTAACTGGAGGAGGCAACACAGAGACGGGACCGAATGCACAAAGCAGGTTGTTCCTCAAGGGAACCGAAATCAGATATGGAACGCCTGGTCAGTCCTCCTGATAGTCAGAAAGGAGAGAGAGAAGTAAAGGGAGGGCATTGGGGGGGTCCGAGAAAGAGAGAAGAAGCAAAGGCAAAGAGGGAATAGGAGGAAAGAAAAAGGGATGAGCAGCTGCTGAAGATTAGGACAAAGGAACGGTTAGATACCAAGGACCAGGAGGGAGATGAAGTGGGAGAAATAACATCAATAGAGAGGGAAGGGGAGCAGGGAGGCCACCAAAGTCAGGGGGGAGAGAGAGAGGGAGAGAGAGAGATTGGCTGCTGCTGAAAAATGTTCTGCCCCCTTAAATTGTTTGCATGCTGATTTGTGTCATATTTCAGCAACTCCTCTCAAGCGGCTTCTGTCTGTGAAGGCATTGGTATCTAAATGAGACCACTGTGCTTCTCACACACACACACACACAAAACCAAAAAGCACCCCAAATGTTTGGTTGGTGCAACTGGGGGCAACTTTCCTATTTAAAGGATCATTTCGATGGACAGATCGGGATCCAGAGGGATCATAGGCGTTTACGCGGAGGTGAGAAAATGCTTCCATGGGCCAGGTCAGCGGGCGCTACGGGTCGGTGCACCACGAGAGGTTAGACTCTCGGGGGGGGGGCCCTCTGCACATCCTCGGACAAGAAACACTTAACCTTCTCCGTACGGAAGACCAGGAGGGGGTCAAAGCTCCCGTGCATATTAGCGTGAGGAGGCGGGGCGTTCTCTCGCGTGTGATGCTATTACACATGAGATGACAGAGGAAGACCATCCATCACGCGCGACGTGAAGATGATCGTGGCGGGGGGAGGTGGATGTAACTGCTTCCTGGCGCCGCTCCCCTCCCCCCCACACGAGGAAGATATCTACCGGATCACATGCTTAATTGGGCGTGAGCTGTTTCTCGGGGGCCACTTGATTCCCTTTTAATTTGCCCGGGAGCGATGGCCAGTCGGCCCGCCCCGAGTGCTCCTGAGCCGTCTGGCCCGAAGCGGATGCGTCTGGGCCTCAAATGGCCCCTCCCTCGGGCTCAATCCGGAATGTCATAACTCGATCGGCAGCCGATGGCTCTCGGGCCCGATCGACAACAAATGGAGGTCTCGGGCCTCGCCGTCTCAACTTGACAATGACCTCACGGGAAATGCCGGGGTATCGTGTTCCTCAGCCCAGACGTCACCGGTGGAAACGGAGAACAAATCAGAGACGAGATCTGTGCCGCTTGAAAAAATGCTACTGGAGAAAAAAAAAACCTCCGGGGGACATTAGCAAGTGATTACCGCTCCTGAAGATTGCTCCTTACATCCTCGTATTAGAGATTATGTGGCAGGCGGAAGAAGTTGGACAACAGAGTGTATGATTGAATGGTGCGGACCTCTGGAAGCCCCCCCCCCCCCCACCCCACGCCGCAAGAATCCAGAGGGACGGTAAACAAAGTTGTTTCAGAACCTTTTGAAATTCACTTTCCATCGCAGTCAAGCGGCAGAGTGGTGAGTCGGCAACCTCCCGCCCCCCTGGAAGTAAGAGGCAGGTGTAGCCAGGGCATAAAAGGCGCGAAGCATAAAAAAGGAGGGGGGGGGGCATTTCAAGGGAAAGGCGCCAGTGATGTAAAGAGGGAGAGAGAGCGGGAGAGGAGGCCGGTTGTGACTGCCCCTCTTTTATCAGCTGATATATATGCATGAGGATTTCCTCATCATCCCCGCTGTCAATTCCACCCCCCGTCCGTCGGTCTGATATTTGACTGACAGCTCGCATCAACGCCAATAAACCTGCACATCATTTCAGAGGGAGCCGTCCCTCGCGCCGGCTTGGAGCATAGGGAAAAAATAAATAAAAAAGAGAAAAAGTTAATTTGTTTTCCGGGAGGCCGCCGTTGGCGATAGCGGCCCGCCCGCTGTCTGTGGTTGTAAATTTGAATTATGCCTTCGCAGAGGTTGCAGGGAGAAAAAATATATATATATATATCGATCTTACAGACGACCCTCCTCTCCGTCCGTCGTCGACCCCACTCGCCGAAATGTTACCGCCCATTTCGGGACTCGAGAGCGGTTCGGCGGGGAGGAGTTGTCTAACGGGCAACGCAATACGAGGAGACGGCATTTCATGGCGATAACAACCCCCCCATCCCCCTCTAATTGCCGTCTGAAGCCAACAGCGGACGACGAGAGGTGACGTTAACCCTCCGGGGGGGATTTGCATGATTGCCGTGTCCATTTCAATCAGCGCCAACCTCCGACTGACAAACACACAGACACACACACACACAAAAGGCACACACACAGCAAACAGGGCCGATATTTAAAACGGCCCCCGATCGGCGATGCTGAGTGTCGCGGGGAAAGAGGTTTGCGGGTTCGGGCCGTGCATCATTGATTAGGACGTGGAGTGGAGGATGAGGAAAGATTACCCCCGTGGACGTCAGGACGCTCTCTTGAAGACTCCACCACGGCTTTCCACCTGGATGCCAGATGAGACGGCGGATCAGAGAAATCCACCTTAACCGACGGTGGGATTAGGTAATGCGCCTCCAAATTAGCCCCGTCACAGCTTAGCGTCGCGGCTAAGGCGGCCACACAAACATGTCACGGGGACTTTGGTTCGCCCGGCAAACACTTTTGACAGCCGGGGCCTGTTCAAAGAGTCGTCTCAACCGAGCCGCCCCTTCCTTTACTTTTCCTTTCCTAGTCATGTGTGTTTGAAATCACCATTTTTCCGCTAATTTCGCTGACATCGAGACAGTGATCCCTGCCACGGAAAGCCAAAAGACTTTGCTCTGAGGCCTTGCTTTTCGATGTTCCTCGGACGAGCGGGAAAGACAAAAAAGGACACGAGCGAGCAGACGAAAGCAAGAGCTCCGGCTGTAAGAGGCCTCCCGAAGAAGGAATGTGCTCGTCTAATTGGCAGGAGGCCTCTGGGACCTCACAGCTCGTACTTAAATCGCGGATAATCACAGGCTTGTGGGACTTCAAGTGGGACTCGAGGTACTTTTGTCTACCGCAGCATGGTAAATCAAAAGTTAATTTAAGGGAGATGGAGTTGAGGTTAGGAACAGAGGACGCAGAAGAGGAGATTTACCCATGAAGCGACGAGACGAAGGGAGCAAGCGCTCAAGGAAAAAGGAAGGGAGGAGAGTGCTGATTCATCAGGAGCGAGGATTTGGGTTCATGTTGAGCGCAGCCCACCTGGTGACTGCCTTTCAAACCCTCTGCCAATTAAAGTAACTTCCAATTGTCGCTGTGTAACTGTGGCACTTGGACTAAGCAGTATTATGGTTGTTGGGACCTTTTGACCTACATACATCGTTGCCGCCGCCGATCGCTAATTGTTGACCTTTAACGACGCAACCGCCGTTAAGCAGGCAGTTGTGTTAATGTCAAACCACGGCAGACGCGTACCAGCAGCGCTGGGATGGAAGAACGTCGTACGGAAGTGATGATCTTCGCATAAAGAGGATCACGCGTGGACTGAGGGGAAAAACAACCACCCCTAATAACAAAACAAACGTTGCCATGGCGAACGGGATCTCCAGAGGTCAACTCACTCCCAGCTGTTTGCAGTGCGCTGCTGCCAAAAAACAACAACGCGTTCTTCAAACACTGGCGCGGGCTTAACTAAATATTTATGGGGCCAAAAAGACGGGGCCCTCTTCCGACATTTGTTGTGCTAGCTGCTGCTGTGCACACTTTCGCCGCGGAGGTAAATTGAGGTCACGTGTTTAGAAGCTGCCCTTTTTCCTATCGCTACCACCGGAGCAAAATAACATTTGAGTGCTGCAATTACATTGAGCCGTGTAATACTCCGGCTAATTAAGTCATGTTTCAAGTTCAATAACGATCAAGACGGCCAGATAAAGGCCAGGGGGAGAGAGAGAGAGGGGGAGGGAGGGAGGGAGGGAGGGCAGTGTGAGTTGCAACAATCCGGAAGCTTTTCTATACGAGACTACTTCCATTGTTGAGGCGGAAAGGCACTCTGTGCTCGGATCAGCAGTGATTAGTCTTTATCTTATTAAAGGGAGGTCATCAATGCTTTTCGTTGTACAATCAGGCTCGGAATTACAACAAACATTGTACGCAGTGCGTTTCCAGTAAGTAATCTTAGAGTAATCTTTCTCAGTCAGACCAAAAGAGGCAGATGGATTCGATTAGTCAATCCACAGAGGATTACTTAACAATTTGTCAAAACTTTAAGAAAAACATTTTTCTGGTTTCACGCCTCTTAGATGGGTTTTTTCCCAATGTTTTTAAAGTCTTACATGATAATAAATGAACTTTTGTGCCTGTGGTCGGATAAAAAAAAATAAAATGTTACTCAGGCGGCTGAGAAAAAGGAAGAATCCCAGCGCCGACACCTAAACTGAATAAACAGGAAACGGTGGTGTGTGTGTGTGCCGGTGGAGTACAGATGCAGAGATTTACCCGCCCCCCCCCCCGAACACATAAACACAATCTGTCACACAGCGAGCAGCGGCAGGAGGCTCCACGTGAGCGACAAACTCTGAAAGTACATTCTGCCGGCGACTGGACTTCAGCCTCCTCCCGCGTCCTTCACGTTGCCCTCCTCCTCCCGCGGACATCTCTTCCATTACCCGCCCTTGACACTGTGGCCGATTGGATTCTTATCTGCCATCGGTGGGCCAGTTTCTCCCTTCGCGGCCTAATTGAATCTGGAGTGTTGGAAGTGCAGCGATACACTGACCACACCGTGTCACTGCCAAGCAGATAAGGATTGCTGCAGGAGGATCGGCCCGATAAAGGGGCGACAAGCGGCTCGGGCTTGTGACTGCGTCGCTGCGACTTTGCTCGCGATTGAGAGATATTAGATACCCTCCATTACAGAGAAGGTTGTGTTCGTAGCCAATAATCCAGTATCCCCTAAAAACAGCTGGGCTCAGTGGCTGAGTTGTTGAAACCTAACCAGGGGGAAGTAGGGCAGTTGTTTCCCAACCCTCATATCCTACTGCATTAGGGACTTGAGAGGGATGCTGCGGATACCCTCCGTTTGACCCACATATGCTGTTTAAAGAAGTAACGTGACTTCGAGAGGATGGTTCTAAGTATTTAAGGACCCCTACCTTAAAAGGCCGAAACCCTTTTTTTTGGTCTTCTTCTCCGCCTCGTCCACAGAGTCGTCCGCCTTCTTCCCCCCTTTGCTCTTCTTCTCCTTCTTCTTCCCTTTGGTCTTCTTCTTCTGCTGCTGCTCCTGCTGCTTCCCGTCGTCCGCGTCCAGGCCGTGGCGAGAGGAGCCGCTGGCGGCCGTTTCGAAGCCGGAGCTGTGGTCCGTCAGGTCGTCGTCTGCGGAACGGAGGCGTAAGGGCAGGCGTCATTTCATTGGCTAAGCTAGTTAGTCCTTTAATGAGGCGAGTCTCTACACCTGGGTGAGTTCTAGCGGCATCATACCCACTTCCCTAAATTGAATCCCCCCCGCGCATGGAGAGAGCAACTCAAGAAAGAACCACAGAGGGTCAAACATTTGCTAAAATGATCCTCATTTGTGGCTTAATGTTGGATTCAAAGTGTCAGAAAGGTGATTTGTGTCACCTGCTGCAGGCGCACAACAAACTTGCGTAATGCAATACAGTGCCAAGCGCCGTCGAAGTGAGACTCACACACACGCACGCACACGGCGTCCAGCCCGTCTCCGGGTTCAAAAGGTAGAGCCTCAGAGAAATATGCTGCTGTAAGATCTAAAGTTGCTCTCCCCAAATTGCTGAGTCGATGAAATCCTGTAGCATTTCATTAAGGTACTCAGGCTAAGCGCCGTCCCTTGGCAGGCCTCCGGCTCCTCGTGAGTGCCAGAGAGAGAGAGAGAGAGAGAGAGAGAGAGAGCCCCACCGTCCTCGGAGGGCCCGTCGTAGGACTTGTCGATGGCGATGCGGAAGCTCTGGTTGCAGCCGCGCCCCCGCACCACCTGCGGCCGCGGCCGGTGAAAGGGCACCTGGGCCTTGCTGCGGCTCTGCTCCGCCGACACCGCCGTCTGGAGGCTCTCGAGGGAGCTGGACTTCCACAAGCCCAGGGTGGGGCCCATGGCTCCTCTGCCTGAGGGCTCTGGGGACAAAAAAAGGGAAAGTAAGAGAGAGAGAGAGAGAGAGAGAGAGAGAGAGAGAGAGAGAGATCGTGAGCGATGAGGTGGACCGATGTTTTAGCAGGATGAGAGGGAGTGATGGAGGAGGAGAGAACTTTTGCCTCGAAAATGAGATGCGCTGCCACTGATCAAACGAGACGGCGGGATTTTAAGGGACTCTGTGGGTATTGAGATCATAAGCTTTTATTCTTTTAGACCCCCCCCCCCCTCCCCTCCCCAGTGCTTAGACAACATCATCATCCCCGGCATTCACATTTCCTCATTTAAAAGGGCATCTGCATCAAACGAAAGTACGAATGCGGCCTGAAAGGGAGCAGAGAGTCAGGATCACTGCAGGAGACGGAGAAGGAGCTGGGAGGAGACGTTACAGATGAATCACGGGGGGGGCACGGGAACAGGACGTGTCCAGTGTAAAGTAGGACATGCCGTCTTCCAAAGCAAAAGCAAGGCCATCCAAAGTTTATTGCGGCGAAAAGGCGGCGGTGTACCTTCTTAATGAACACTGAAAACAGACAATAAAAGTTCTGAAACTATGAAGGAAAACTTCAAGGAGCACAAACTAATACAAAGATTAAAGGAAACCATTGAAGTGATTCATGTTAGGGAGTTGCAGTGGATCGTTGTTACAAAACTCTTCAACATCAAAATAATAATGAATTGATTCTTATCCATTTTTTTAAAAATATAAAAAAATGATTGATATATTCACACACATTCTCCTTATCAGATACATTAATAGAAGTACAAAGCTATGCAGAAGAAATGGAAATGGAGAGAGAGAGAGACCGTAAGTTGAACAAGACGATCAACCGAAATGGGGGCAAAAGCGCAGTCCTACAGGAGCAATATAAAGGGGGGGGGGGTGTGTACAGGGACGGCTGAGGAGCAGCACCCCCACAGCTCATGCAAGAAGCAGGGAGAGAGGGAGGGGGGACGAATGAACCGTCATCATCCTGCACTCAGATATGCGGCCTCCAACTCCAGAGAGGACGAGGGGAGGGGGGGGGTGGAACCCACCTGAGAGAAAGTGATGACCTGTTGATGACCCCCCCAAGCAACTGGGCGGAGGGGGGGAGGGGGGAGGGGCTCAGTCTGAAACTTTTCTGTTGGGATGACTTTCTGGCATCGTAGTTCTCACTGCTTAAGACGTCATTTCACGGGCTTCAAGGCTCCCGAGTTGGGGGGGGGGGGTGAAACTGAAACGGCGATGGGGGTGGCGGTGGGAAAAGTAAGCGTCGCTGCCTTTTAAGTTCTAAATTGACTTTCTGAGAGGAAGTGGGATTTATGGGGGGATATGGGGTTATAAATAGAGAGGGGGGGGGGGGGGGGGATAAGAATAAGAATAAAACGCTCAATTTAGGAGGCAGGATTTGTGTCACAAATGTAATTACGGCTGTCCAGCTCGCAGCCTGATAGAATTAAGCTCCTTGCCAGCGACTACACAAAGAGACACTGTGTGAGTGTGTGCGTGCGTGCATGCGTGCGTGTGTGTGTGTGTGTGCATAACAGAGCTACAAAATTGGAGAATATGGAAAAGGAAGGAATTTAAAAGTCCCGCTACTGCTGGTATAAGATAGCGGTGTGTGTGTGTCCTTGACGACTTTAGATGAAACAGGAGACTTTTTCTGGTGTTTGTGGGTGTGTGTGTGTGTGTGTGCGCGCGCTAGCTACGTGCCAGTCGGGCGGGCCGAGGCTGCAGGTAAATGAATAATGAGGGTCTAATAGGATGGATGAGCGGCGGCCATCATCAACAACGCGATCCGATGGAGGGTGAAATCACGCTCATAGCGCATATCGCTGCCCGCCCTGTCGGCAGATGCTCCCACGGGGGGGGGGGCGGGGGGCGCTCGCGCTGCAACCCACCTCCGGGTACGAGCTACCGCACATATTTGACCGTTTTTGGGGATGGTGGTTCAAATCCCAAAAGCTCGGGATGGCCATTAAACTCCCTGATTGAATCGTCGGCACTAAAGTATAATTCACTGGGCTCCAAAATATCTGTTCTTTGGTACAAAACAGTTGGCTTAGACTTTAGAAGAGATGTCTTAAGACAACTCTCGGGCACTTTACGAAAACAACTAAAAAGCAACATGCACTGATGGACAAGAGGACTTCTGAGAAACCCCGTGTGAGAACACCCTTAATACCTGCAAATTACAGCTGTATCCACAAACATCCGCTCAGAATCCCACACTGCTCGACTCCCCATGGCGATGTATGAGCAACGCACATTCTATGCCTGCCTGGGTGGCTTATGTTTGAGCTACAGTGCCATCAAAATAAAGATAATTGAGACAATGAGAATTGGGTATTATTTGCATGTAATTGTTATGGTTAAAAAAAATGTAAGAAGGCAGATGTCAAAATAATGGGGTTTTACATTACACGTCATTTAGCTGACGCTTTTATCCAAAGCGACTTTGCATTTTTAACCCGTTTTTTTTTTTACATTTTGCCTGGGGAGCAGGAACATGAAGCAGCCAGGTTTCGAACCGCCAACCTAGCAGTTCCCGGCCCACCCTCTCCACTCCACGCGCCACCATCGCCCCTGCCTTTTCCACACAGACTGCGTGTGTGCGCGGTGCAAACACACAATTACACAATTACTAATTACAATAGCTGATCAAGCGGGCGGTGAACACCAACAATTAAAAAAGGTTCTTGTCTTATTCATGTCCAATTTGTCATTGTTGTTTCGGTCCAAACATGCACACACACACACACACACACACACACACACACACTTACAACATAAGCCTCGGCACACTGCTGCTCCCCCCGCAGGGTCTCAGCAGGGTCTTAACACTCACCTATCAACTGGACTACAATGTGCTCCACAGCAAGCAGCTTTTAAAGCACACTGGCTGAAAGGTTGCCACGGTTACAAGCAAGTGCCGCCGCCCCCCCCACTCCACTGGTACGTAGAGGGTGTGTGTGATGGCGAGTTGGCCATTGGAAAAGGGGCTTGTTGCACACACATTTCCATCTAGTATCCAATCTCAGGGCAAGCCAATAAAACCTGTAAAACAAGCTCTGACCTGCTCTGTTCTATAAACACACACACATCTGTAGAAGAAAGCCTGCTCGCTGTGTCGCCGGCGCTTTCAATAAAGGTTATTGAATCCAGCAGAAGCGTTAAACACACAGTTACAGGGGACAGATCTTGCTCAGTAAAAGTTGTCTTATTCGAGAGGAGCTTTAACAATCCAGAATGACAATTGATGCCGACACACCGATTGTGGTCACACACGCACGCACACACACACACACAGACACACACAGGGTCTTCGTAGCGGAGGAAACCTGTGGTGATGCGTGTGTCTAAAGAGTAAACATGCATTTCGGATATGGCACGCAGCACCCTCCGAGCGGTCTTCATGAACTCTCCCTCCACACCTTTCCTGGACTGGATGTTTGGAATGAAAAGGGGTCGCTTTCCGACACCAAAAGCCGAAATGTGTTTGTCCGTCTCTCAAAACGTACTTCCCTGGAGGAAAACCAATGGTTCCTCCCTTTTCATTTGTATTTATTTTAAACGCTCAGTAAATTTAAAAAACACCACGTAAGTAAAAAGTGAATCTATCAGGAGGCGCGTGCGAGCGTGAGGAGTTGACCCAGAACAAATGACAGAGGAACCAGTTACAGTGCAGCAGCAGCAGCAGCAGGATGGGCTCACGGGTGGTTTCTCTCCTTTGGTGAGATCTGATGACAGGCGTGTCCTTCACAAAGCCACTAATGCTTAGCCGGCGGGGGAGCAGAATGTCACCAATGCTCTTTCCCTCATATTCGACATGTTTCCTCATCGTACCACGGACACCAGACGTCACACCCAATCACTTCACACATCTGGATCGCCGGCAGAAGCTAAATCCGATTTGTGTTACGGGCGATCAAAACGCCGCTCCGATCAAAGACCTGTCCGATCACTGCGCCCCCCCTCCCAACCCCCCCCTCCCCCCTCCATCGCTGGCCGAATGCACTGAGCTCCATCAGCAGCGGATGATGAAGCTGGATGGCGGCGCTGCTCTGGCAGTAATTGGTTTTAGCTGTTTGGATGCATGAGCGGGGGGGGGGGGGGGGGGGGGGGGGTGCAGGGGGGGGACGCATGTATGCCTTCGACGAGACGAATGGCTCCAATAACCGGAGGGGACTTTAAAAGGCCATTTCATAATTACCGCCTACCTCTGCTGGATTACAGACAATGGAGAGTTGAGGGTTGGGTTGGAGGGGGGGGCGGGGGTGGGGGTGCAAGCGGGACAAGCTCCATTTGTAAAAAAATTAAATAATACATGGGATCCAAAAAGCAGCCGGATGGAAACGTGACACGGAGATATGTGACGCTCCACACAAGTTGATCCCACGTTTTTCCCAGCGTGCAGCGTCTTCAACGCCGCCGATTTGTTTCGTTTTTTTTAAATCTTAAGGAACAGCGAGGACTACTGGCCGGCACTGTGTGTGTGTGTGTGTGTGTGTGTGTGTGTGCAGGAGGAGCTCCCGGGGCGATGCAAGAAGGGATGTCTTTCCATTACTCGCCCCTGAACAAAACACACAGAGAGCTTCTGGTTTTCACAACTTGTTGCAGGGAACTTAGGAGACTGGAGCATGATCCACGTAATCGCATGAGGCTGGAACAGACGCAGCAGCAGAGGATGAGAGAGAGAGAGATGAGATAGCAGCGAACGAATGAATAGAAAATGATCAGCCTGTTGAGAGAAAAGAGAATGAGAGCGAGCACGAGGAGAAGAATCGGATGTGGGAGAGACGGAGGGAGAGAAGAAGGAGTGACGACGGTTGGGGATCAAGAGGATGCTAAAAAGGGGTATGAGCCCGGCGACAAAGGGGGGAGAGAATAATCAAGAGAGAAGCGACTGGGAAGAACAAGATTGGTATCAAAGATGAAAGCGGAACGAGGACGGGTAGAAAAACCGACTAAAAGCTCCATTGACGATGGAAACTCCTAATGTGGGGGGGCAGGGAGGGGGGGCGGGGGTGAGGCGCTCCTCGCAGTGGCTCTGGCCAGAGAGAAACAGGGTTTTAGCCAGATTAAAGAAGCCAGGCAGGCCTCTTAAGGCCATCCGCGTAATGAAATATGTCAAAGCCCATAAAGAAACGCTGAGGCCATTTAGGACCGGGGGGGGAGCAGGGGGTGGGGGGGGGGCGGGTCCAAATAACCTGCGTCAGCAAAAATGAAAGAAAAAAAAAAAAGGCAAAAGCCCGTCAATACACATTAGCTAAGACATCAAGTGTGGGGGGGGGGATGCTGCAGCAGAGAAATGGATCCCTATGAGGGCTCTGGGTGCTGATCAGAAATGCCAGGAATATCATATTAGGAGGAGCAGGAAGAGGAGGAGGAGGAGGAGGAGGCTGCCACTTGTGTGAATGCTGAGTGCGAGGGGCCATTTGTATTCCACCGGCAACAGGCGTAGTTGTGCTGTTGCAGGTGGATTTAAGAGCTGGGTGTACGTGTGTGAGTGTGTGAGAGACAGACACACACAGGAAGGGGAGGGTGAGGTCCCTTTGGTGTACGATCGTATCCGTGTGGATGTTCCTTTCTATCACCTGTAGTGGATTCCTGCGCGGCAATGCGCTGGGTTCGCCTTTCCCTCGCTGAGAGCTGCGAGTTGTTGGCGACGGAAGGGTTCCGTCTGCGGCGCTGATGGATTTGAATACTTATTTTCAATGCCGTAATTACTGAACGCGGTTGAGTGCGAGGCGACGCCTGACCGCCCCCTTTCACACAGCGAACCCATTGATAAATTCATTTCATCAAGTGTATTATTTCCTGGCATTGGATGGCGAATACTTCGGGCTGTTTAACAGCAGACGACTTTGGGACTTGCTTTGTTTTGTATTGTATTCACAGGCTGATATTTCATATCTTGTCTGCTTGTGTCTTCTTTAATAATGTACTACTTTAATGCACAATTACAAATGTCCCTCCTTCCGACCGTCACTGTCTCTCCGTGAAGGCAAAGTGACTTTATGTCCCACTGCTAACCGGACTTTGTCAAATAAAACGAGATGGCGTGCGAGAAGCCATTGTGATGCTGTTAGGCGCCACAGGTCCGGCTGTAAAGTGGCGAGCGCTCCGGCACTGGGTGCTTCACAACTCAACGTTGGCAACCGAGGGAAGGAGGTGGGAGGGGGGGTGAACTATAAAGAAATGTGTCCGAGGAGAAGGAAAATGTATTAACCGTGGCATTGAGGGAGGAGGGGAGATGGATGGAGGCGTGCGTTTGGCCTCCATCGGACACTTACCGTTCCTCTGGCTGTCCAGTGATCCCATGTTGCTCTCATCAGCCACTACAAGAGATAAAAAATAAAAACACACACACACACACACACACACACACAGTTAGCAGCTCATATTGTCATGTGCCAGACGCACAGCAGCTCGGCGCTGCTTTGTAATCGGTTAAAATGTACTGGGGCCGGCAGATGCTGTAAAAGGACTCCCTGCTGAAGTACCGGGGGACAGAGGAGGACGAGAGAGAGAGACGGGCGAGGGACGAGATGAGACGGGCCGAAAGAGGAAATGAAAAAAGGAGCAGGGAAATAAGAAAAGCCAGAAGAAAAGTGGGCAATAGCCCTTGTGAGCGAAATAACAAAGGGAGGAAAAGGTGGGGTGGGGGGGGGGTCTCCACCCCCACAAAACCACAAAACTGACTGTGGGATTTCTTGTAAACAATCGATTTCACTTCTTTTTTTTTTTTTTATGAAATTTTTTAAATTTTTATGAAATCAATTTCACCCAAAGACAAAGACTTCGTCTTCCTTGTGCGTGTAAAGAAAGTCAAAAAACGGGAAACGCTTCCAGGTGTCGTGACCCGGGCGGATAAAGAGTAGCTTCCTCTCCCTGTGGAGGAGAGAAAGACGTCTGCATAATCGTCTTCAGATGTATTCAGGAGGAAAAAAGAAGAAAGACGGCAGGCTCGACCGCTCGACCCTCTGAAAGCAGGGTGGGGAAAAAAAACAACCTTTGTGCTGCTTTCAGGTGCAGCGATGGAGGGTTTCTGCATGTGAGCTCGGAGTCAACGGGTAATCTTCGTGTCAAGTGGCGTTTAATAGAAGCTAACCTGCTTTGCTCGGATACAAGTGACCGTGAACTCTGAGGTCTGGCAAACTAAAAAGTAAAAAAAGAAGCACTCGGCGGTTCAAATACAAAACGTGTTGACAGGGTGTGATGTCTCGGGCGTGTTAGGAGCTCCTGCACGGGCAAAAACACACACACTCCGCTAACCACCTTGTTTCAGCTCAGAACACTGGTGAGGGAAGGGATGAATAGAACCAGGGAGATAAAAAAAAACAGATTGAAATGGAGGAAGGCCAGAGATGGAGATAGGAGCCAGATAGCGGCGGGCATTGGAGTGGGTCCTCGGTGGGATGGAGCCAGGACGAGTGTGTGTGTGTGTGTGTGTGTGTGTTCCACCCTCGTCTGTAATAGAAGCCAATCAGCTTGGGTGGCGGAGGCGTGCGCTGCAGGACGAAAGCCAATCCACTGAACCTAATGGACCGCGATTGGAAATCAGAGGCGAGCGCGGGGGACGGATGGAGGGGAGCGGGAGCAATGAACCCGCCGGCTCGTCCGCTGAGAAGGAAAGCGCAGGAGGGAGAATGAAGAGATAAGCAGCTATGGAGGGAATACTCCGGGGGGGGGCAAAAGAGAGCCGGCGGGGGGGGGGCAGATACACACACACACACACACACACACACACACACACGCAGTTCATGCAGCAAAGCCCCTGGGTTTATGAGTTCGGGAGGTCAGATCCCCTCGGGCCGGGGATAATGGGACAGGGCGATGAGAGCCATGTGATAGCTGACTGGAGTCTGGCGGCATGATTAGACGCGTGTGTTTTGACTGGTTCGGGATGGTTGAGTCTACAATGAAGCGCTGTGTGTGTGTGTGCGTGCGTGCGTACGCACCCAGGTCCATGCTCTTGGACGTTCTGTTGCGAGGCGTGTTGTCGGCGTAGAAAGCCGCCGCCGCCGCCTCCCGGTGCCGAGTCTGCAACTCGCTGAGGACAAAATAAAGGGTGGTCAATCAGGTGACATTTACCCGGGAACGGGCCCAGCGGTGGGAAAGAAAACAAGTCTCCTAGTGGCCGCACTTGTTGCATCAGCCGAGCAAGCAACGACAAATCATTCAACTTCCTCAGTAGAACGACAGCGTGCGCGGCCTATATTAAACTTACAGGGAGACTGATGCCAGACTGACCACATGAGATATTGTACACAGACACACACACACATTTTTTAAAAACACGCATTCACAATGACCTTACTTAAGTGGTTAGTGGTTAGTGAGTGCATACTAGAAGTATAATGGCTCTTTTTAAGCGTCGGAACGTCCACAGAATTCACTCCATTACACCTTAATTACGTATTCATATTGTAAATAGGCTATCGCAATTAAGCTGCATGGGCTAAATAATGCATGTGAGCATTGTGATATTCAGTGTAATGGCTCTTCTTTATCTCATAACACAGCGCCCCATTATAAGAGTGCCATTAGAATATAATAACTCGTAATGGACCGCTGATGGTGCGGTGTGTGTGTGTGTGTGTGTGTGTTTACCTGTGGCGTGGGAGGGTTTGCGACGAGTATTCATTTACTTTCTCCTCGGCGCCAGGTGAGGACGGCGGGGGGAAGCCATCCTCAAACTCGTCATTAGCGTTGCCGTAGTGACCGCGACTGTCATTGGTGTTGGCGGCGGGATACAGCGCTGAATGGACGTGAAGAGAAGAAAAGAAAAAGCCTTATTTTTTGATTGTGGCGCTGGACAAAAAAAAAAAAAAATCCACAGAAGGTTTTTAATTTTTTATTGATTTTGTCATTTTTTTCTACATTCGCTCTCAAACATCATTCTTAAAAAGGAGGACGCACGCTTTCTTCACACTGATCATTCTGTGCATCAATCAGTTGCACGCGGAGCGATAGCCAAACACAGACATCAGACGTAACGATCGGCGCGTACTTTCGTTCCGTTTGAGTCGATAAAGAGCTCAGCGGGGCCGGGAATCTACGGAGCACAAGCTTTGCATTTTAAAAATCACGTGACCTTAAACCCCCCCCGGATCACCACATCCACACAAAGGACGGTGAGGCGTTTGTGTTGAAGGACTGCAAGTGCACAGTCTTACGGAAGGCTGACAAGAGTCGCCCCCCCCCCCCCCCCCCACTGGACCCCAGGGGGGGAGGGGAAAAGAAAAAAATTAAAACGGGTTGTTTGCTTCTCTCACAATACCCTTCATGCAAATCAAGGCCCATCAGAAGCCGTCCCATCCACGTAATGACTCCCAGGGCGGAACTTTTTGAACGTTCGTCCACCCCCCCCCCCACCAAAAACCCCCCGGCAATGGTGACCTACCCCCCTTTTCTCCCACATCTGAGACCCTCAGGAAAAGCTACTTAACTGACAAAACACACATCCCACATGTGACTTTCTCCCTGCACCTGAAGGGAGGAAAGTGAATTTCTGGCCTCCGAGGCTGCAGCGCGCCTGTGGGCACTACACCGCCGGCTCATGGGACTATGGGTCTGAAAGTTCAACAAGACTCCCCGGGCTCGTGTCCAGGCCTCTCGGTTCATTGTAAGTTGCCTCAAGTGGACAGACAGTGATAACTTTATGCACAACAAAGGTACTTCTGTTGCAGAAAATATGTCGCTGAGTAATGTAATGTTGCCCCGCAAATAATATGGTTAAAAGTTGTTTTGTAGGCTTGGACTCTTTGTTACCAAAAGGGTGGAATAAACATTTGTGTTCCCCTAATCCTATTACGGAATGTATGATTTATATTTCTGGTGAAATATCCTTACAATCTGGTACACGATGCTCAAGTAACACGACTTACTTCTAAAACCAAATTCCTGTACCAGCCCCCACCAAAGATTTCAAGGATTTGTCCTGCATCCACATTCATATTACAGGTAGATTATGTTCTGATGAAAGCTAAGAAGAAGAAAAACTAAAAAGGAACCCGACTTCTCTCGGGAATAGAGCGACTGCGGTTTAGTCCGACACGAGGGAAGAAAATAGGATTTTGACATCTTTTCGAGGTCACATCTTGTAACCAATCAATTATCATCCCGCTCGGATGGCAGTGTGGGAGCAAAGCTTTGAGGAAACACGAGCAGATTTAGAACAACCCTCTGAGGGCTTTTCAGTAGACGCAGAGCGTGGGTGACGAGCCAAACACGGCGGTTTCAGAGTCGTTGGGATGATCGTAATCGAGGAAGAGATTCGCCGTCCACGCCCACAGAAAGGGGCCCGCTAAATAAAAAGCAATGTTACAACGTACGCACATCACTCAACTGGCAGACGGGTTTTATATCTATAGATATGCACTTCAAGTGCACTACTGGAAACACGGTAATTAAGACAATCTTGAACAAGGCTGACAGGCATGTTGTCAAGCAGCCCAGAACCCCCCCCCACACACACACCATAAGCACACAGATGGAGATAGGGACTTTTATTGCTGCGTAGTCGGTGCTGGTGGAGGATGAAAGCAGCCTTTTCTGGTCAAAGAGATGTGAGCTAAAGTGCAGCTGTCACACACACACATTTATTTAAGGGTGACAATAAATGAACCTGGATATAATGAAAGGCTTTGCAATACCTTTGTCATGCATTGTGTGGGATGTATGCAGGGTGTCACGGGAGGGAGTCCCGGAACATCATTAGCACCCGTCATACATGTTAATGTGTCGCTGCGGCCGCCGCTCACTTTGAGCTCGTGCGCGTGCCACTTTGAGCGGCTCCGCACACAAAAGGCCTGACAGCTCCTCCGTAAGAGCCGCAAGGCACTCGCGGCACATCACAGCCATGCAGACCTTCATCCATACGTCTCTTCATCCGTCCCTCCCGTCTCCGCGGTGTGACGGATCCCCTGGGGCTTTTCAAGCAGCCAGCAGACAGGCAGTCAAGATATCTTAATCCCACAACAATAAGTAAACAGGGGGGGGTGGTGGTGGTGGTGGGGGGGGGTATACAATGGACTTTTGAGAGGCTTAGCCGTGCCTCAAACCAACTGTGTCACCCACGCCGCCCACCCACACATCACCAGGCTCGGGACCGGACAGCAAAACAGGAAAAGAGCGAACGCTCTCTTGGTCTTAGCTTTCAACATCTGTATCCGATATGACTGCTTGTCCCTCCCTCCCCCGAGAGCAAAACACTCGACTAGATCACGACTCTTTGCTCTGCTGGCTCCGAAATGGTGGAACGAGCTCTCTGATGACATCAGGACCACAGAGAGCCTTCACATCTTCCACCGCAAACTAAAGACATCTTCAGACTCTACCTCCACTGGATGAGACTAACAAATTGTAGCACTTAAATTGTACTTATAATAGCTCTTATTTATAGCAAGTTGTTGTAAATCAGGCTATTTAATGACATTGCATTTTGTCGTTTCTTGTTCTTTTGAGTTTACATCCTTATGGTTGAAATGCACTTATTGTAAGTCGCTTTAGACAGAAGCATCAGCTAAATGAATGTAACGGAATGTTTCAGTTGTAGCTCACCGGCCTCCCTGGAACGCGCTTTGACCCGCACTCACCTGAACGCCAGCTTGGGGGTCAAAATTGTCCAGCGTGACCCTGAGTGAGAAAGACCACGAGAGGCGAGCTGTTGTCGACTCATCTGCCAGCTAAAGTGGGCGGAAACGCTTTAAGGGGAAGACGAGAAGGAAATGATGTGGCCCGCGTGGCAGCGGTTGATACGGCGCCGCCCGCTTATGGTCTTTAATGGTCACTGATGATGTAGGGATGCCGACCCTCCTCCTATAGAAACACACACTGAGGCGTATTCAAACGGACCAATCAGACGGCAGAGCTTTGAATGGGAGCAGTGATTTTGCTGTTTCCATTATGCTTTTATACACTAGCTCAACGCTAGCATTAGCATGCTAACTGGATCGCCAGGCCACAGTCGCCATCAAAGGAACTGGAGAAACACTGAGACGAGGGAAGAGATGCACCGTCACACATATTCTCATGAACAGGGTCAGCGAGACGCTTTACTCTATTGCGATTTAAGATCGTATCACCCAGACGGTGGGTGGGGGGGGGGTGTTTTATCGCGCTCCCCAGCCCGGCTGCTTTTGTGACGAGGCTACGCAGACACACTGCGAACTCTGAACTTGCAATTCATCCCCCTCCGGTTGTGTTGGGATCGCCGAGCATCCGCCCCCGACTGCCGGGAAACGTCTTTATTATGCGTGTGAAACAAGTCAGTCACTGGCTCACGTTGCGTTGTTAATAAGAGCTTAAAAATAAGCACATTGACACGTTCAGTTTGTCAGATTTCAACACGTTTATCGCACCTGGAAGGGAACGTGTTCGCATCTCCATGAAGTCTGCTCTCATGTCACTTTTCCTTAGATATTCCTGATCCATTTTCATCACACATGTATATCTGTGAATGATTAACTGTGGTGTCTTCGAGTTAAAAGGATGTAACGCATTTTAATAGAGGTCGAGGGAGTTTTCGGTTTTATCAAAGCGAGCTGGTTTCTGAGTGATGTGAGTGACTAAGGGATAAAGAAGAGGCGGGAGAGAAAGGAGATTGAGGCCAAAACAGAAGGAACAGGGAGTCAAAATTCCATTTAATAAACAAGGAGAAGTGCAAAGGAGAAAACCAACAGAGAAACCAACAGCAAGGCATGCAGGAGGCTTCATACCAGCTTTATTCAGCAGAGTAGAAACAGGCGAGACAGAGATGCAGGAGCACATTGCTTTAAAAAAGACACGGAAATTAAAAAGGAAAAGTTCAAATAAAAGCTATGTACAAATAGACAAAACAGGAAGGGGCAGAATAGGCCTTTGCAGAAGAAAAAGCACAGGTAATTGTGGTAAATTAAGACCAACAGGAGAGGAGGATGTGCACACTGAAGGGTTATTGCGTGGAGTTTATGGGTAATTCTTTTTTTTGCTGAAAGTTGACGCAGTGACAGTTAGTGGTGTTGGCAGAGGGGAAAAGCTTTCAACCGGATTAATATGCGCCCACGCCATCGATCCTGAAAAGAAGAACTGTATTTCCACTGTACGGAGTCGGCTGCAGAGAAAGACTCCAAACACACACACACACACACACACACACACACACACACACACAGAGATAAGGCCTAGTGTCCGAGGTGCTGGTGTCTGATGAAAGCTTGGTTGTGTGCGTGGTTGTGGTAGTGTGCGTCTATGTATGTGCGTGTGTTTTGGTCGGGGCTGCGGGCGAGCATCCCCGCGTGTGGGGGGGGGTCTCCGTACATCTGCCCGGCCATCGCCCTGATGTTCTCGGCGTACGCGTTGCCGGAGTCGGGCGTGCGCCTGCGCGCGCGGGCGCTGGCGAGCGTACGCAGCGTCCTGCCGTGCGCGTGCCCGTGCGTGTAGCCGTGCGTGTACCCGGACTCGTAGCTCTCCCTGTTTAAGTTTCTGTCAAAGCTGCTCGCCGTCCGGCTGCGAGAGGCGAACCCAAACTCGTACCCGGAGGCCGGCCTGCGCGCGCCTTCTAGCGCATGCCCCCCCGCGCCGTCGCCGTGCTCGCCGCCCCTTTGGCCAAGGCCGAACGTGGAACCGCTGGACCCGCGCCTCTGAGCGGAAACCTCGGCGGGCCGGGTGCGCGTCCCTGCCGGGGGCGGCTCCGACGCTCGCCTCCTCAGCGCCGGGAGGAGGGAGGAGGAGCGGCGAGGCGCAGGGGGAGACGGAGACGGCTGCGGCCGGCGGGCTTCACCCTCTCGTACCTGATTGCTGGGGGCCTCGTGGTTGTTCGGTTGATGGGTGGCGGGCCACTTGGGCGCCATCGCGTTCGCCGCGGGGCTGCCGTCGCCCATCTGCTGAAAAAAAGAACAAATTCAGAACTGGGAATATGGAGCAAACCGCCGATGTTTAGCGAAGTAACCGGGCCGCCTTTCATGTACAAGCGTGTGCATGTAGGTCAGCGGCTCCCAGTATGTGCAGCAGAGCATCTTTACTGGTGGGGAGGGAGGGGGGGGGGGGTCCTTGTCTCATTGATCTTGCAGTCAAAGCTCTGGTGCTTATGAATAATCACATGATAACGTGTCAAACATTCCTAAATGTTTCATGGAACCCAATTCATCATCATCCAAATTCCGGGAGTCGAAAGAGTCAAGACGCGTTGCCCCACATCCAGCAAAACCCCCCCAAGGTGGAGCCGGCGAAACAGGAAGTGAATGAGGAAACAACAGGAAATGTAAATAAAATCCCCCTTGAGCACTTTTACACAGTCGTTCAAAACACGCCCTCCATATTAACCACGTTTTCCCCAAATCCTCAAATCGTGGCGATTTAGAACCGGCGTACCTGTCGGGAGAGCCGGAGCACCACGAGCTGGATGGTTCCCCGGGCGTTTCCCTCGTACGACATGGAGTGGCGCAGCGTCTCCATGGCGGCGTGGTTGGAGCGCCCCAGGAGCGACTCGCCGTTCACCGCGATCAGCTGGTCGTTGACGCTCAGCCGCCCGTCCTGGCGGAGATGGAGGGATTTTGGTTGCATTTAGAGGAACTTGTTTTTCTTCTTCTTTTTCATGTCACTCATGCTAGTGTCTCATCCAAAATGAAGCGTGTTAAAATGCAGGTTGGGGTAAAAAGGAGTATAGCGCACAAACCCTACATAAGACACACATGCTCAGGCCACCAGTAAAGCTCTGAGAGAGGAGAGGGGAAATGGGTGAGAGAGAGAGGGGGGGGGTAAGAAATGGATAAAAGGGGGGAAGGCAAGAAAATTGTAGAGTTAGCAATCTATTGAGAGCGGGAGACATAGAGCGGCTAATGGAATGGCCTCCATGGGCACTAAATCACTTCTAAGTGTTTTAAATAGCAGCCTCTCATAGAGACAACACGGAATAGTGCCCTGGGGGGGAGGTGGGGGGGGGGGGGTGCGAAGGAGAGAGGGATCAAATGAGGAAAGCAATGCAGAGGGCAATATCTCTTTTTTTTTTTTTAAGCAACAATAGACGTAGGCACTTGAAGCTACACGAAAGACTCTCTTTAAGTGTGTACTTTGGGTCCATTATGGTCAGCACTGCCCTTTGACCCCCCATGTCATTAACAAGGCAACGCGTGGGCTGACCCCGATGGCGACAGGGATGACACCACACACACACACACACACACACACACACACACACACACACACACACACACACACACACACACACACACACACACACACACACACACACACACACAAAGTCATCACCAATTGATGTTTGTGCCAAAACCAACGGGTGTCTGGGTAATATCTCCATCCGCCCGAGTTAGTGCTGGGAGCTGCATGTAATTTTAATTTGTTTTTCTTAGCGTGCTCTTTGATTTGCTTGTGTGACAGTTGTTTTTTTGGGGAGGGGTTGTAATTGAGGCCCCGGGCCCCCGACGTCAGCCAGCGCTACTTAAAGGAAATAGGTTAGAAGTCCTCCCTGCAAGTTCCCGCTGCGTGATTGTGTGGTCTTGTGTGGTTGTGCGTTTCTCCCTTTGGGGACCCGGCGCCGTGTCTCATCGGCCTCGGGGGGCTGACGCACGCGTTCGCATCTCCCGCTGAGTTTCTCCACTTTTTTGATCCTCTCCCTCCCCCCCCCCCCCGCCCCTTTTGCGTCCCTCTATTGTTCGATGGCACAGGCTGCCTCGCTTTCAGGTCTCCGTCCGTCGCCGCTGTCCCGTCCCTCTCCCACTTAACGTGGGATCTCGTCCCAGAAACCATCTTGCGGGGGCCCTTATCCGCAGTGGCAAAAAAGAAGAAAAAAAAACTTCTGAAGTGACTTTGGGGGCCACACCGATCCCAGACCAGCAGTTTATCTGCAGCGCCACACTCGGCCCGGCGCCCCGTCGACGTGCGCTGCAGATCCGGGAGGGGGGGGGCGAGAAGGGGGGGGTATTGAAGTGGATGAATCTTCAAAGTGCTGAAACGGGATGTTTCTTTTCCTGACGCACTCACAACTTGAAGTAAGCACAGAGCGATAAAGATTCGCCCGGCCGCAGCGCTGACGTGACAGGGCCACTCGGGGTCAACGGGGGGTCAAAGGTTAGAGGGGGAAAGACAGGAAGGGAGATGGCGAGAAGCGCAGCGGAAGAGGAAACATCACTAAAGGAAGAAGGGGAAACGATTCCACAAAACATTTTTTAAAAGCTCGAAAAGTAAAAGTTTTAGGTGGTTCCGAGTAAAACGATGACACAAAGAACCGCCGATTAGCATCACAAGTAAAGAAAACAGTGCAGCTCTCAAAAGGTTCCTCTCATTCCTTATGTTTGATGCATTTTTAAGGAGCTCTTTAAAGGCACCCAGAGTGCTTTTATGGTGAGAACCTAATGAGGCATTTTGGGACTTTATCAGAGCCTCTTCGTCAAAACGCGGGAGCGAGACGTTCCACGGATTTGCAAGCAGGGATCTGAGAGATGTGGCTCATGTTTCTTTATTATTTCACCTCCGTCTCTGGTGTGGAGAGATCGCAGCTGCGATGAATCTTTTCCTTAAAGGGACCACACCACGTCGACTTTGCTGTCCTTTTTAAAAGGCCCCACATTGTCCCCACGAGAGGAACCCCTACCTTGTAGGCTGCCCCTCCGTGGATGATGGACTTGATGAAGATGCCCAGGTCCTCCCCGGTCTCTCTGGACTTGTTGCCCTTCAGGCTGACCCCCAGGCCGGCCGAGCCCGATTCGTTGAGCGGGACCTCGTACATCAGCTGCTCCCTGCCGTCCTCCATCACCAGGCTGCCGTCCTCTTCCCCTTTCTGGACGACAGAAAAAGAAAGACACACGGGTTTAGTATTTAAGAGTTCAAATACTTCTGGAAGAAAAAAAGCCGCGACTCCAGACAGGTAAAACGTCGGCTCATACGCACATCTAATGGCTGCTTTACATAATGAGGGCCGCGTGTGATGTGAGGATTGAGGTAAGAGCACCATTGCTAATGCAGACTGATAATGCATGCTGATCTCGCTCAATGCAGGAGGAGAAGGAGGAGGAAAAAGGGGAAAATG